TAACCGATCTATGTTTCCGGTCCTACTCTTTTTCTCAATATTTCCACACAAGGGTTTAATTTAGGGTGTACTTGACTCTTAAAATTTTTCCGGAAACTGGGAATTTCTCCAGTAATAAAGTGCTTTTTGGAGAAATTTCATCCCAAGTGGGACTGACATAAAAGAGGGATCCGTCACTTTACCTCTTATCCTTCACTTTTTATCTTTGTTTCCCTATTTTTCTGTCACGCTTAAAGAGCAAGATGCATTTCACGCGAAGCAGTTACAAATTCCTTGAGAAACAAGGCAACACACACGAAGAAGAAATGTGCATGAAAAAGACGACGAAAACGAACCTTTCGCATCGGATCAGCCAAGCCGTTAAATTAGTTCGACGTAAAGTAAAACCCTTTTTTTAACCAAATCGAGGGAAACTTGGTGAACCCTGACTTTCTTTCCGGTTCCAATTTCCAAATGGGATGAAACGCCTAAAAAATCATACATACACGAACTGACTGACTGACTATTTTTGTCCGCTACATAAGAATTAGTCAGTTTTTCAAAGGTTGTTTTAATTTAGCTCGTATCCATGCAGTAAAATTTGTGTGTGTGTTCTTGCATTGCGAAAAGTTTAATTTATTTAAGCCCTCCATGTTATCTTTGATATTAGAAATTAGCATGTCATCACTCCCAAATTACATCATCATACTTCACACATCTGTACTGCTGGCCTTCTTCCACTGCATTTAATTAATTTGTTGACTATTTACTCGAGACTGACTTAATAATATATTGCAAAGTTGCTTTGATTTGAGTCATCTCGTCCAATTGGAAAAGTTTGCAGAAATCGTTAGCAGAGTGCGATTCAAGGAAAGTAAACCTCGACAAGGCAGGGCTGAATTACAGATATTTTCATATCGCAGATATTATTATTCAACTGTCCTGTCAAGAGGAGAGTAGCAGAAGAACAAACAAAAATGAGAGGAAAGGAACAAGGCCGTTCGAATGTTGCAGATGTGACCCACATTTTTTTTACTACTGCTCCGCCGCCGATGAACCATATTCTCCAGGCGTGATGAGGATGAGGACCAAACCAAACCGAGAAGTGAAACTAATCCTAGAGAGTTTGAAGACATTAGTGGTAATAAAAAGGCCATAAATATTCTGTGGGTGTAGTAGTAGAGCGAGATTAGCTAACTATGTATTTAGTTCGGGACGAGAAAGTAGGTGATTGAATGTATTGGGGGATTCGGGTTGATTATTTACATACATATGCAAAATTCGGAGGTCGAGGTTTATTTATTACGCATTTATTAACAAGAAATATAGAGATTGAATAAAAATGCAATTATTCATCCTCATTTTGAATCGGATTTCACAATAAGAACTTGAATCACCCTTGTGACACAGATATTCACCATTTTATTTAGAAAATTAAATCACCAACAAAATTGACCACATCATCATCATCCGTCCATCCAACTAACCAACGTCAACGCGTCCTTATTGTGTTACTTTTAACGGATTTTGACTCATTTATTTCTCGTAATCATACCCTTCAGCACCGGTTTGGCCATAAAGTATCAGTAGATAAATGTGTACATAGGCATCATTAACAAGGCAATTGTAAGCTTGACATGATGTTCCCACCCTTCATTAAATTTTTGTACTGATGATGGAATCCTCCTCATTTGTAAAAAAAATGATGCTACCACCGACTAATTCAATTTTATTCGGAAATTTCACACAGCGTGGTTGGTGGCAACGTTAGAATTTTTCAAATGCAACTCGTGAGGCGAGTTGAATAACTGTAGCGAGGCGTACTTAATTTTGGTCAAATCTTCCTGTTCCTGTTACTCCATATTTTGCAATCTCATTGAAAATGCATGAGCTAGCTGTTATACTGACCAAATCCTCTCACGAAGTTTCAAAATAGCGATTTTATTTCCTTGTCATCCTAAAAATTATGGGCACGGCCTAAATACAACTCTATAAACCAGTTCCATTAATCATCTCTCTACTTAAATGACTCGGGCTTGTTGGACCCATTAAGAAATTGGAATTTGAAATATCGGTTACTGGGTAAAGAAAGATCATGGCAAGGCATGAAACCCTCGTAAAATTAGGTCTAAAATTATTGGCGACCAAATTGCATTAACACCTTGCGTGATTAAAGATGCCAAAACCAAACTGATTCGAGCAAGCCGTGCTGTTAATAAGTCTGGAGTACTGAAATCGAATAAAACCCAGAGCTAATTATGGCGGATGACGTAATTGCATTGCAAACCTCCAACAAACAACAACTCACTCACTCACGCTAACTTACGTACATCCTGCAAAAGCTTGTCTTTAAAAGCTGCTACAACATGGCATCATTGAAGAGATGACACCATCATCATCACCACGAAACTATTACTACCAACCAGCTCCAGTCGACGAATTCAAGGTGTTGAAGGACATGGCAAATAAAATAATGCAGTCTTAAAATTTGCATCTGAATTAAATACAAATTTCTCCCAAAAACAACAAGTAACAACGATTTGGCACTTGATTTACGGGTGTCTCTCCCTGTTTGTTTAGCTTAATGGCTGCCTGTTGTCTTGTAAATGTAGTGTTTTCCAAGGACCTGATCCAATCTGGGGGTTATTTATTTTATATGGGATGACATTACTGGATACGAGCTTTAAAGAAATATTTACTTGCACTTGCACACATTTTGATACGTACAGTTTGCATTTAATTATAATTAATCCTTCAACTTTTTTGGGGCTTTTTCGTACATTTGATACGTGAAGACTAAGGTTGCGCAATAATTATGATATTTCTCGTGAAACAAGGTGGGTGCAATAGGTTGGCAATCGAATTGAAAATCTGACCGCGTCTTAATTCCAGTCATAAATCACGGTGTAACTAAATAAAATTCTAGAGTATGAAAAATTTAAGCCAATCAATATAATCACCCTCATGCAATGTAACAAGTAGTAAACCAGAGAGTTGAACTGTAAGCCAAGACTTTTAATTTTAATATAAAGGTGAAGAGTTATTCAAGTCAATTTCTGGTCGAGCGAGGCAGCAATTGAATTGATGGCCTCGTGACTTTTGGATGTGTCGATGGAATATTTTATTTCAGATGGTTCGTGTTGGATATGCGTAAAGAATGAGTAATAAGTACGATGAAAAAATAGTGCACATACTGATACATAAAGGTTAAGAGGGATTAGATGCATTTTTTACAGGAGTATTGTCTTGTATGTAATCTCGGTTTAATAATTTTAACCCTGTGATTTGTTCGAAAAAAAGCCACGTATAAATATGGCCAGGCCACCCACCCGCCCATCCATACCGGATACATAAGTAATTGCGTCAAGAATTCAAAAATAAGTTTAAAAAACTTCAGTAGACTTCGAATGCCCGAGTCGATCAGAATTTCATATTTTTGGGATTTCGAAGGCTAGGATGGGTCACTCTGGCTTGAAACTTTCTTCGTATCTGATATGTGTATACCTGAACATTTGTGTCAAATTTCACCCTTCTTGCGACCATTTTCAAAAATCAGTGGGGCTCACATATTTTCGATTTATACCAACGGATTTGCCAACATTCGAACTTTCATTTCTCACATACTACGTGCAAAATTTGTGTCTGCAAAATTTCACCTTGGTAGGATGAATTTAACAAGAGTTATCTCAAGTCGGACGTACCGACACGATGTGTACATAAGCCCCGACCCTGTCAAAAAAATAGGTCTGGGTTTTAACAAAATGACAGTTTAATTCGGAGAGAGCCTTCTGGTAAATTTATTGGCTTCCATGCAAGGCAACATAACACAAACAATGTATGAAAAACACACAACTTTAATACTTGTTGCACAAAAGACCTCTTTAAAAATTTACGACGAGAAGGTCTGCACGGTTCAAATATACATCCTCAGCTCAAAAGGGTTCCATTAACGCACTTCTAATATTATCCGTACATACATGAATTTCTTTAAGGTCGCAAAAAATAACGTATTCCTTGTCACGTTGTCAAAGTCATCTTATAACCTTTATTATTAGTTTGTACTTGTTATTGGGGAGGGTGGGAGCAGAATGATGCATACACAACATAAAAACATTCGGTAAGTAAGTATCATATTCATAAGTGTTTTTCTTTCCTCTTTAAATTAAAAGATCGACCGACTCTGACTGGATAATCGTCACCACCACTAAAGCAATAAAGCTTGTTTGTCTAGGTTTGATTTCTGGCATGGGAATGGCTTCACTCTTTTCATCTCGCATAATAGAAAAATTTTAATAAATTGGGCATTCAACAAGTAAAATAAAATGCAGTTGTGATGTGAATGCAATGAAATGAATGAGCACAATACTAAAGTAGGGCACAAATATGGGAGCAGATTTAATATGTACATTTCAGAATCATCTGCCCATCAGTCGGATCCAGTGTGAAAAAATGAAACCCTAAAAGTTTTTGATTATGATAAAATGCAGCTGCCACCACCACTTGGTCGTAAATTCTCACCAATTTATCCGCTCAATCCATGAAAGTAGAAAAAAAGTTGGTATATAGGAAATGTTAAATGTTTTTAGTTTGTTTAAAAAAATAGAGTATGAGCGGCAGCGTTTGCCGGTCGGCAAGCTTTTTTTCTTTACTGCATTTGCTACCGGTTGGTATTATGACAGACGAATTTTTAAAATGATTTTTAAAAACGGAGGCATGTTTGTTGATATTTTGTGATAAAGAAGGAGTAGTTGTGTATCGATGAGTGGGTGTGTTTGTATACGGATTGATTGATTTTCTTCATATATCGCTCGATATATGGAAATCAATCAAACATAATAATACCAATAATTCGAGAAGAATTTAAAAATAAAAAAACCGTATGCATACATATTCAATTCGAAGAAGTATCAAATACCGAAAGCCCAATTTTTATTGCATGACTTCGTAGTTCGTACATATTTAATTCTTTTTTCTCTGCATGCACGGCAGAATCAAGACGGCGATCATTTTTTATACTTTACCTTATTCAGCGATCTTGGCAAGGAATTGGAGTCCATCGCGTTGAAACGTTCCTTCGGGGCATCGTCGCTAATGATATTCCCGTTCTCAACAACTTGCTCCATTCTTCTTCTTCTTCTTCTTCTGTTTCATGTAAGAAAACGGAAAAAGTTTCGATTTCGTTCTTCTTTTTATTGAGATAATAATAACGCAGTGAAACAATGGATAACTTGATAAACGAGGCAAAAGTTTGGTGTTGGTTGAAAGTTTGGAATTATTGGATGGATGGATGGATAAACTTTAATAACTTTTTCCTAGCCTAGAAATTGTTCAGAATTTGATGATGAAGATTGGTATCATGGAGTGTCAGTAGATTGATGAAAATGTCCGATTTCTTCTTCACTCATGTCAATAATTACGGGTTTGAAATAACCAGCAAACTTAACACGGAATGTATTTAGCTCATGATAATATTACAAATTACGTGAAACACGCACTAACGAGGGTTGAGATAAAATCAACAAAGGAATTGTATCGTAAGAAAATTTAGGGTTTCAAAATATGTATAAATATTCTTTCATTTTGACGTAATGTAATGTGAGTTGAAATTAAGTATTCAAAAACTACGGTACTTTTGGTCTAACAATAAGCCCAGACTTACTGTTTTGACTGTATTACATATCTTTAAAAGTATATATTCATTCAGGTTTGCGTTTGGGCCGTTCCTGTCATAATGACGCAAACCGTTTTGTTTTATTTTGTTAAAATATCTTTCAACAAAACCTCAGGTTCATTAGGTAAGTTGATGTCGGGTAGCTTATTTAATACTGCATTGCGTGAGCAGATAACTGTAATTCAAGACATAAATTTTGTCCTCATTTGTATTTCAGCTCAGGTTTAGAGTTCTTCAAATGAATGAAATTTGTTGATCACATAAAAATAACTTTAGCCGAATTGTAGCAAAATATCTTGTTGCAACTAATTCTTTTAAGAAAAAGTTCCCGTACCCGTCAAGCAAACCTTTTACCTCATATTTAACATAAAATTTCACTTATTTCTCATTTGGCGTTTTCACGCACAGATTTCACATTTTAGCAAATATCACTAAATTATTAGTCAATCAAAATTAAAAAAAAAACCTCAATCGATCACTAAAATAACTCAAATGCACATCCAATTTCCAATTCTGACAACCAGACTTTTAACCAAACTGACTTTAATACAAGTATTTATAAAACTCACCAGACAAGTAAAACACAAACACAAAACTCGTCACAAATACAACACAAAACTTAAAAAAGAAACAATTTTCACACACGGAAGTATGAAATTAAACATTTAAAAACTTTTTTTTTTATTTAAACAGACACAAACTTATGTAACAGAACAAACACAAACTTAACAGAAACAAACAAACTGAAATCCTTAAATTATTATGAATGTCATTTTGTTAATTTGTCATTAGTAATAATTTTAAGCGAAACGCCCTTCATAACACCAGAACCAGAACCCAAAATATTTCTGGCATAAAAAACAAACATTCCACTAATAAAAATGATGTAAAGGATTGACTTTAATTTTATGTAACAAGTTTTTCGCCGGTTCTCTCTCCTCCTGCGTCGCCGGTAACTCGCAAGTCGCAACTAAACTGGGAGATCAGACAGACCATCCAACAAGTGGTTCATGCAGCGATGCTTCTTCTTCTCCTATTAAAGCCAGTTTTGTACCAGAGTTAGTTATCTTTGGCTAATATGTTATGTCGTCTCGACTTGCAGTGGCTGAGATGAAGATGATGATGACAAATACATAAAAATACTATTGTGTGTGGGTTGCAATTTGCAGATCCTTTAATAAAATAAAGTCTGCTGAGCACTCTGCTAATTCATTAAAGTTGTCGTGTATTTGGTTAAAAAGTGCGGTGACATAATTTGTTTAAGGATATCTTTGTCTTTCAGTTGGCACACTGTTGTTAACGCCATATCGGCTTAAGTTTCTCCTTGATCTGGTAAAAGATGTTCTTGACGAGCATTATTATTATTATTTTATTTATTTATTTAATCTGTAATCAAACCTGCACTGCTGGCGTTTCAAGAACTTTTTTAAGGCAGATCCGATCGGACAAATCCTCTACCAAATGTTAGCCAAGGTTTTATTTAGTAAAAAGCTTGTATTAAATTCAGACGCAGGATTTGCCAGACCGTTCGTTCGCTCGCTCGCATAACAGTTTTGAATGCACTCGTATTAAGCAGGAGAAAAAGTTGTGATCGTCTCTTGCATCCATCCATCCGCTGAAATATTGTGATTCATTTTCGTTACGTGAGTGTAGTAGGAGATGAAATGGTAAAAGGTTTAAATGGACAAACTTGTATGTACTACTGCATTACATTACATAGACTGTTGTGTACTTCACATCACATAAAACTGATCCCAAGCCCACAACACTTACTAGTCATTCCTGGTGGGAATATACACTTCTATGTAACGTGAGGATGGCGGAGGATGAGAATTGCATAATACTTAACACCAACCAAGCCATACATACATATCCCTAATATGGATGGAATGGTAGATAGAGGTTGAAAAACAAGAGGGGTGACTAGCTCATCCGTGAAAAAAAGACGGCATCTAAAATATCTTATGTCTGTCTGTGTGGCGTACACTATGTGAAGATTTCGTGATCTAGTAAAGTAAAAAAAAGCACCCATCATCATTGTGTTCTTATGAGTCGGTAAAGTTTTAGGCGGTTTAAGAAGACATGCATATTATGTACTTGAAGCATCAATTTGCTCTTACTTTTACTGGAGTCCATGTAATTGCGGCATCATGCGTGGGATGATTCGCATGCATGGAAGAGTGGAGAGAGAAAAAGTTGGATTTTAAAAATATGGCTGAGAGATAATTAAGAAATTATGGATTTGTATAAGTGTAGACTAAACGATGCAGATTTTTTACGCAATAGAAATGTAGAATATAATGACACGAGGAGGGAGGATGATTCGATGAAATTTTGCATACCATATAGGTTTCCAAAGGCTGGACATTTGCTTGAGAAATAAATTAGCATTATGATTTTGTGAAAAAATTACAGTGCAGCATTATTTAGCCCGAGTTAGGAGTAGCGTTATTATTCTCTCTACAAATTATTTTAAAAAAACCCGAATTGCCCGTTACTACATTTCACTGCAATTTTCACATAGCAAAACTAATCGTCGGACAATTGTGCAAACGAAACGAAAATACAATGTTTTTGCATACTTTTGCTAATTTTCAGGTCGAAGTGTTAAACTCCGTTTCACTTGAGTTCGCCACATTGAGCACATTAGCCAAATTATTTATTATTTTACACCAGTTATTTTTATTTTGGCGTAAAAATTATACGAAATTGATTAACGTAAACGCCAAATAATAAAAATAATAAAATAATAATTCAATTAATAATAATTCGGCTAATCAACTCAATGTGGTGAACCCAAGTAACAATAAACGGAGTTTACCACCGTAAACACGACGGGTACATAAGCCTTAGCTCGGGTTATTTAAAAACGAATATTAATTATGACTATGTATGTTTCAGGCATAGTTGGGAAATAAATATGCACGCATTACATTTTGTGTTTTGCTACCATTTTAGCTCATGGTAATAATGTCTTTTAGCTATTGCAGGTTGTTGCACTTTACTATCTGTAATTGTTTTACTTCATATGTGTCTAGTCAACTAATTCTTTAAACATAGTAATAAAGAAGTAGTGAGACTAAAGTTTTAGACGCATTACTTATTTCTGCATTATTATAAAGGCTTTATGAACACTTCCTTAAGATGGTAAATATCGATCAATTAACACTTTTGTAGTCACATATCTACGTATACATGCCCATGCAATTCCCTACATAATTTTTTAGCTTCAGGGGTTTGTTTTAAATGAACAAAATAATTACTGCGATCCACAACGATTCTTCAAATTATACATATATATGTTTTCAAAATCCACAATTTAACAATTGAACTCATTTTATTTTATTATAAATTTCAGAGAATAGCATTAAAAATTGGTTTTGATTCTACAGTACAAATAATGAAATTACTAGATCTTTGCTTGGTTATCACATTACTATTTTTATAAAATAAATTATTAAGTAGAAATATAACATTAAAAACTTGAGATGAATCTGCTTGTCAAGGTTTTGCAGTAATTGAAGGTGTTTGAGGTGTGGCAGATGAAAAAGCAGGCATTCTAAGGATCTTTCTTAATCCTGGATGCATCAACACCACATTTTGTGTTAAAGCAACTGTGCTTGAAGTCGCCCAGTACAAAGTAACGGCCTAGAAATTTAAACAATTCCGCACTATTATTTATTATCATGAAATTAGTTATTGCATGAAAACTTACAGATGGCACATAACAGGCTAGCACCGAAATACACACAATTCCACCTGAAAAAATCCATGGAAGAGCTGTTTGCAATTTGGATTGGACAGGAACAGAAGGTCGATTTCTCGAATGAAGATAAATATTGACTAGATTCGCAGTTAGAAATATTCCTGGTAGCACATAAGGATCACTGACTGTTAAATTTTCAATCCAAGGGGTGCCTTCTTGGAACATTCCGTACCATCTTTCCGCTTGTTCTAAACACAAATTGAGATTAGAATGATTCTAATAAAAACGAATAAAATACATAACAACGAATTTAAAAAACACTTACCTTCAGTTCGTGGTAATGGAAGCCCAAAAACTATATTTCTTAGTGCACTTGAGAAGCAAATCCACACTGGTATTTGAATCAGTGCTAAAGATATTGATTTCATGGGATGACAATTGTGCTCCTCCATAAGCCTCCGCCAGTGTTTCTTGTACTATAAAAATTCGTAGCAGAAATTATTTCTTAATTAAAATTGCTTATGACTAATTTTATTCAAGACTTACGGCTTTTCTAAACTGAGTTTTAGCAGTCTTCTCATCCCACCCGAATTTCCGTATTGCAAATCCAATTTCTTTCTTTATATCTTCAGCAAGCTGTATTGCTTTGGGTTTTACGTCTTCAAGTCGCTTGATAGATCTCTGTTGAGCAATAGCAATTGGCAAACCGGTCAGAACCCGGATGATAACTGTGGTGCACAGAATGACCTGAACCCAACTCAAACCTGAAAGATAAGTACAACAATCAGTAACTACTCTGTATTCATTAAAAATGTAACTATTTAGACTGCTTTCATACCATCAATATCTTTTAGGTAACAGAGAAAATCTGCAGTCATTATAACAGGACCAGTGTCGGAAAATATTGTCCCGGTCAAAGTCGTAGCATGCAAATCCATCAGTTCCAGTAAATTAGGAGGTGTACCATTAACGGGGATAGGTACACTTTGTGTACTTTCTAAACTAATTCCACTTGAAGTAGAAGCAAGTCTTGATAACACCATAGAGCTGCACATCTGAAGCCTGGACGATCTCCTAATTATCATTGGACGATGTGAGGAAAATGTAGCGATAGTACTATACGCTTTGGTCAGACCGGGAATTCTTTTCGATAAGGTCATCGTGGACAGCGGTCCTTGAATCCTCACCAGCGTGGAATACATGTTTAAGGAGGGAGCGTCGTCAATCTGCACTCTGAAAGAAATCATTGACCAGGTATTAAATTAACCAAGTCATCATCAAGATCCCCAGTCTTGGGAAAAATTACAAATACCACACACATTGCTTTTAAATAGAAATTTTAAAGTTTCGAGTACTATTAGTTTATATTAACATTAACATTACTTTTACTTTTCTTTTAATAATGCCGACTTAACCCAGATAATCTCTTACCATGTGCAAGTCATACTTTCTCCAGTCACACGCACATATTTGAAACACGTTTCTCCAAAACAGTGACTAGAAAAATGAAAAACACTGAAAATAATTTTTTGTATTTATGTTATAACTTTTCGTACTCGTTGGCGCGCTGTGTGCACGTGACTCTGTTTACAGAGATAAACATTCAAATGTCGTGAGAGGTCCACTCAAGCTGAAAATTTACAATTTCTCGTCGTTTCCAAACACATGACGTTTATTTGACGTTTTTTTATACTGAAAAGTCATAATTTCAATTTTGGGTGCTCCACTCAAAGTTAGTCACAATCACAACGACAAGTTAGTCCAGAACCACCAAGTTTGAAGGTGAGTGCTGAAATTTAAGGAAAACTTGGTAATTTTCTAATTGTTTATCTTTTTTTTATTTGTATAGTTAAATAAAATATGTTACATCGTGAATTTGTAAATAATAGCTTTATTCTTAACGTTCCAGGTTTAGTAACTGAGCGAGGTGCTGGCGACAAAGATTAAGAACATTTCCATCTCTTGATTGACATTTACTATTTCATCCGATTCATCTATTCACACATCTCGGATAGCTTTATCCATAATTTCCAATTTGTTTACTGGACTCGTCGTCCTAAAGAATGAGCAGTAGAGTAAGGAAAGGTAAGAACTAAAAGGCTTCAAATAATTAGTATTTGGCTGTCTGCCTGTCCGAAATCTGAATAGAAATTAGAGGATTTAAGTTATGCTGGTGCTGCCCTATTCATTTATATGATTTATATTGCTTCCTGTCTATATCCAAAGCTATTCTTCATATTTTTGGTATAGTTAGTAAATATGTATCGTGCTAGTGTCTAATTGCATTTCGAACAAAATTCAAGTATGGTGGTAGTATGGTAATTAATTAATTAGTGGTAGGAGTTGTTTCAGATTATTCAATGGAACAATACATCATGAATAGTTGCGCTACGTTGTAGGCAGTTCATCATCATATTCAACTTAACTTTACAAGTTTGTGTAAATTTACACTTCCTCAAATTAAGCCTAACTACAATATTGTCATTGTCATTTGATTATTCTGAATTCCTGCTTTATATGTATGTTATATGTACATATTTATTATAATCACCATTTCCTTTATGTTGATCGTCTGATAAAGGTGAAATTATCGTTTGACGAGAATATATCTTTCGAGCCCAGCAACGGGGTCAACACATTCTCAACAAATTGCCTGGATGTAATAAGTCATGAGGTTGGTCTTGACTTTAGCAATGTTTCTCTTGTGTTTGTGTGACCAATTAGTTGTGTGTGGTGGTGGAATTCCTGTGTTATTCCAGATTTAATATTTTTTGAATTTTTATTTTATAACTTGTAATTTATTTAAAATTAGGTTAGTTTGACCAAACGTGCATGTTGTCTGTCAGATTAAGTGATTATTATTATTTTATTTTAGGACCTCAGTAACACTGCTTGCATTTTGTCCTTCAAAATGATTTTGATTTCGCAATTATTCTAGCGGAATTTAACATTTCTTGCTTGGATAGTATGCTGGTAATGTTGACATATTTTAGACTTAACTACATTACATGGTAAATAGCTTTCCAATTACTTTGCTCACATTTACTTGCACTCTGAACTATTACTAATAAGAATTGTTTACAAATATCTTAGAAAGAATGCTAAAAAAGTTTTTTTTTATATTACGGATTTAGTGCACGACAAGCAGTGAATGCAGAGCGAGAGTTAATTCAACGACTTCGAGACCGTGGATTGAACAACAATCTTGCAGGACGTGGTCGCAGAGTCGAACCTGTTCCAATCCCTCCTGCAAACGCTAACGACGCTGTTGGTTTCAACATGGCTGGACGTGAAGATCGAGGAAATGGTAATGCAGCTTCCAGAAACGCATATAATGCTGCCAGTAACTCCACTGTCAAGCGAAAGGCCCCGTCATATGGACCGGAAAGCGTTGAAGCTTGGGCTGCCACAGAGGTTAAATTTATTTCATAATGGTTTTCGATCAGTTGGATTTTACTAATTGATTTTACTATTCAGATGGAACAAGAAACTTTTGCCTTCCTCTGGTGAGTACATTTTCATGTTGCGAAATTAATCTATTTAAAACTTTATTGAGCGATTTCAGGCATGCTCAATTTTTTCGGATTTTACAGGACTTTGAAAGGGTACTCATCATTTAGCGGCTCTGGCACTTGCACTGAAGAAGTTAAATCCCCTGTGTTCCGTGGTGGTCCAAAAAGTCAACACCAATGGTAAGATATTCAGATTTATCTTGACTCCTTATTATTTATCAAAACCTACTGTAGGTCGTTATTCAGTATCCTTACTTAAATATTTGCATCATACAAATTCTAGGCAGCTTAAGATGAGTCCGAAAAAAAAGTCAGAAGACCTGGAATATTTTGCAGTTCACTTAATTCTACAAGGATTCGGAGATGGAGACAACTCAAATACAAGAAAACTTAAGGCAATTTAAATCGACAATGTCAAGTTTTTAATGGTAGATTTCTTAATAATTTATTTTATTTAAACAGGTGCGATTTCAGATTAGCTTGTTAGACTCGGATGGACGTCCTGGGAAGCAAGCTGGTACGCAGTTACTATAATTCTTAACTGACAATAATCAAATCCGGAATTTGAAAAGACAAAAAAATTATTTTAATCTTACATGTACGGTTTCATATAAGCAATCCTTTTGTAAATTTATTTTATGAAATTCCGGATTTCATTATTGTTACTCTTCTATGTTTGCAATCGTTCAGGGCTAAAGTTGACCAGGGATCAGATAAATTTAAATGACCTCATTACCGTGGTGCCGCGGCTTTATGACTCCAATCGACTCCTCCCTAAAAATTAGAATCACGCTGATGAAAGCCACATCTCGAAATTAGAATCGATTATACAGACAAGACATTTCCATAAAGGGGTTTTTACCATCAGTAGTGTTGCGCAGATTAGATAGACGCCTCCTGGCTCTTCGAGCGTAGTTATCGACTTAGAATGACCCCTGGGTTAAGCTATTAAATGTGACATGTACATGTTAGTACCATAATGTGCAATGAACGAATTCCACATGATGGATCTCTTTTTCGCCTGAGCCTAGACTTGGTCATTTTCTTCTTCGGATGTACCAATATCTTCAGCAATGTCCCGTTGCGAGCACTGCAGCAATCAGAGCGAAGGTGTGAGCATGGAAGTATACTTCAAACGAATGATATATTAGTATTTTGAAAAAATCTTAAACAAACGTAAAAATATCAATGTTACATACCTAGGTTTCTTCTGAGGTAATCTTACTGAGGTGTTTTATGTTTTTGTGTTTGGGAAGCTTCTTCAGTTTAGCCACTGTGGGTATAATTAGTAGATAATCATTTTTTAAAACCCACTGTCAATATTGCAAATTGATAATAGCCGGTAGGAAATGTCTTACCATTGTTCAAATCAAACCAATTTTCACGATGTTTTGTATTTTTGTGTTTGGAAAGCTTCTTCATTTTAGCCATTGTGCATTGATGTTGGTGGTTTTATTGAGATACGATAAAAATTAAATTTTAAAACGCAGTCCTTCAATAATTTCAATTAAAACATATTGGATTGTAAATTGATAATGATGGTAGGTCCTTCTTTCGTATCTTTAGGTATATCGTCGTTCTGTGCTTTAAAAATAAATTTTATCAGATCAACGTTTTAAAAAAAATATTTGTGCGCAGGTAGTGGAACAATGAATGTATGCGAGTTCAAACGGTGCAGTGTGTGGGGATACGACAAGGTATTTTACATATTAAAATAATTTACACTTATTAAATTCCAATAAATTTTGACTTGTAAATTTTTTTTTGCAGTTTATTCTTACCTCTGATCTCCTGGCCCCTGCAAGACGTTTGATTGATGAAGATACGCTCAAAATTCATTGTAGAGTTTGGATTGAAGGCGAAGTAAAACACAAGACGGGTAATGGAGGCGCGTATTCACCGAATCTTATCGAAGAAGACCGCGTGGTCAGACAAAAAGATCTATTATCAAAAGAACTGAGCGTCCTCTTACAAACCACCGAGTTTGCAGACGTGGCATTGACCACTAAGACAAGAACATTCATGGCTCACAAGGCAGTTTTAGCAGGTAAATGTTCATATAATCTGATTTTCCAATTTTTCAATGTGAAAATTTAATTTTGTAAGATCGTACTTGAGCTTGCAATTTCAAGAAATAATTAAAAATGCCCTCTGATACCGTTTTAACAACAAGCCAAGAAAATATGAGCTCCAAAGTATTACTTAATATGTATTTTTTTGGTTTTATACAGCTAGAAGCAAGGTCTTCTCTGCAATGTTCTCTAGTAAAATGCTAGAATCTACAATGAACACGGTTGAAATTCCTGATTTTGATGAAGACGTTGTCGAAGGAATGCTCGAGTTTATGTACTCGGGACAAGTTGAAGGCTTACATGATCCTGATAAGGCTAGTGCTCTTCTTCGTATCGCCGAAAAGTATGACCTACCAGGTCTAAAAGAAGAATGTGAACACAATATGGCTGAAAACTTGAATGTTGACACTGCCATTACAATTCTTGTCATGGCTCACATCCACAACGCTGCCCTGTTGAAGCTAAAAGTCATTGATTTCATCAATCGGTAATATATTCGTGATTTACTATTAATTATATTTGTGCTTTACTTACGAATAAACGAATAAATTACGAATAAGTCATTAATCAATTCCATTCATTCATCATTCAACAGGAATAAGGACGACGTAAAGAAAACCAAAGCTTTCAAAGAGGTTGCAGTTACCAATGCTTCAGTATTTGTGGACCTGTACTTGTCGCAAAAGTGAAGGAAAACAAACATGTAGTCAAATTTCAAACTCCTCCGGACACCGTCGTCTTTACTCGCATCATCATTAAGCAAAAAAGCCATACAACAATTCAATACCTTCTAAGATTATTAGCTTTATGTATCTGCTTCCAATTTAATCTATCTCATAAAATGATTTAATTACATAGATAATTTATTGAGCAGTTTAATGTAGATATATATTTTTGTCAGATCACTACACCCTCCCAAATGTGTGTGCGTTTTCTCTGTATGATCTGAATGGGATTTGTATATGTATAGATCTGAAAATTATATGTACTTATGTAGAGCCGTCTTCTCAATTATGTTTATTATTCCTATTTTGTCAGTCTGATCTCGATGAGATTTTACCACAGACACCTTCCCAACTTTGGTTTAACTTTTTTCCCACATTGTAAGCTTTACCTTTCCCTACAAAATTGAACGACTGTACAATTATTTCATTGACAAATAATTGAACCTAATACAGTGCTAATTTGTGCTACCGTTTATAATCTGTAATTATTACTTTACAACATTTTTCTATGATCCGGTTCCGCCGGGAATTAATATTTGTCTTTATAAAATAACCTTCTTCTTGTTCTAACTGCTACTTATTAGTATTATCTATATGCTATTAGGCGTGAAAGAAATTATTATCTACACAAGTAGTTTAAAATTGATACATTTTTCAGTATTTTCACGCTTCTCGATTGCTTACTAGAGTATCTAAGGTCGGTGGTGAATACAGATTTAGTAATATTTATTCATCCGTATTTGCGTCTAATTGCTAATTTTGTATGTAAAACTCGATCAGTGATAATTTTTGGTTGGAATAGATTACCAACAAAAAACGCAATCATATTTCGTATAGTCTGTAAGTATGTATCCTACACACGTATGTATTTATTTACTAAAACTAGAGTTGCGATTCGCAACTTGCGAATGCAAAATGAATTATATACTACACTTAATGTAAATAACTGATTTTTTGCCGTGTTTATCAATGGCGAAATGATGAATTTAAGTACAAGAAAATTCAAAAACGAGTAATAAAATAATTTCAAAATACCGGTTAAATTGTGGATTTTATAATAATATTTATTCACGAATATCTTCATTACCTATTTACATACATTACAATCACTACGAAATACCATCAAGATTTTTATTACGCTAAAACTTTGAAACAATTTCTAGAGACCGAAAAGACAATACTGAGCATTTTTTCTAAATTAATTAATATTCAATCAATCAATTTGATTAACGAAAAAATTGATTTATTTTTCTAAGAATTATTAATATTTCCTGCTCTATGAACACTGAAAGTTATGCATATTCGATCATCAAGCAATCTTTAAAATGCACGCAGTTCATGCAAAATAGCTTACAAGCTAAGGACTAGGATTCATTTTGTTTAATCCACTTACATAATTTTTAGTGGTCATCATACTTAAAATGTAAAGCTCCTCATGCATCAAATATTCTCAATTCATGAATGACAAAGACGGACATGCAAGACACTTTAATTCACCTTCATTATTATCAATTGTGTAATTATGTATAAGCACTGGAAAACTTTTGCATGCAAAATTAAACAAAATTCGCAATCCTTTCTCTTAAACAATAAATTCTTATTGTTGGATTTTTATTAACTCGAACAACTTCACTAGACAAGCAAATATATGTATTTCTAAAACGTCATACTATTTGACATTGATAATGGCACAAATAAAGTCACAGTTACTATTTATCTAGTTATTAATATTATTGGTTTATCTTTAGAAAGCTGGCTGGTTATGCGTAAATTATCATAATTCCGATCCCAGCTAGATTTTAATCTCATTTTAAGCTGCACATTTTTCCTTTTAATAATCTCTTTTCCTAAGATTATAACATAATTAAACTGACCTTTGACATACGTCTAGATTAAGTATTTAAGTCTATCTATCTATTAATGTAAGTATGGCTGGTAAATTAATAAATTACTATTACAGTAACCTTTTCATTGGAATTACAAGTTTTTTCTTGATTGTTCTTTCTCTTATGTATTCGTTGTTCATCAACAAATAACCCGGTGGGAAAGTTTGTTTCGTTGCATATTTTTTTTTCATGAGTAACTTCGTTGTTTAGTTGTATAGTTGGTTGGTTTTTATGTTATGCAAAAAGTATAGTTTTTTGGTTAATAATAAATAATTTACGTAATACATTGAGAAAAAAAAATTATATGTGATGTGAGTTAAATATTACACCAGGATTATGATTAAAATGTAAGTATAACAAGCCTTCTGTTTATGTATGTATGTATAATTGAATAAATATTAAACAATAAAGTATAAAAACGGTTATCTATTATGTACATTTACATAAGAATAATACAGCTTAAAATCTTTTCTCGCTCTAAAACCTAAACATAAAGAATGATAAGTAATTAAAATGACTGACTCGAGATTTACTTTAAATGTAATGCGATAAGTCTCATGAAATAATAAAAATGGTTAGTTAAATGTTTGCTGATTGTTTAATTAAACGATTTGAAGGTGGGTCTCATAGTCTCGGAACTCGGTTAAAGTTTTCTTTACTCTGAGCGATGTTAGTCTGACTTGTGGCGATCTGTGCCAACATTCCTTCATAATTTTGGAAAGTTCAAGGAGAAGCTGGGGAGAAAGTAGAGGAAAATTTATTAATTTAGTTTTTTTAAGAAAATTGCGAATATATGTAATTTTGTATTTTTTTAAAATTTTACCTTGGACTTGTTCCACCTGAGAGGAATTTCAGGTCGACTTCCATCTTCACATACGATTTTTCTCATATCTTCAAAAGATGGATCTTGTGGGACTTGATCTTTATAGGGGATGTCGTAGTCCTCAAATTCAGGCTTTTCGTCCCCAGCATTCGTCACGCATCTGAATGATGTTAAATAGTTGTTAGATTACACTTTATAAATAATTCGAGGTAAAAGTTTGCAAAAAATGCATACCTTCGCCCAATTTCCCACAAAATGAGTGCAAAAGAGTACATGTCTGCCTGCTTGTAGGCGTCGAACCAATCCATTTTCATGGTGTCATCTAGCACTTCTGGTGGCATGTAGCGTTTCGTACCTTGCTTCACGTTGGGGACAATGTCAACTCCACGTTCACCACTGGAATTCATACATGGAAGTCATATTCATTAGTAAAGTTAGTGTCTCATTTCATGTTATTTTAGTGATGACGTCTGCAGCTAAATAGCTAGAATTTAATACTAGTCGTAATATTTGATCTCCAATTCTTAATAGAAATGGTCTCGTCAACAGAGAACCAGTTTAATGAGGCAATTTGAGTTTAATATGGAATTTCCTGTATCAATTCAAGGCGTAGTGATAACTGTCTGAGTTTTAATACAGTTTGATGATGGAGCAAATCCAACGATTCAATTTTCTAACTTCCAGCAACATAAAATAATTTGAGAATCAGCGTTTTTTACCTCACGGAACAAACTGCCAGACCAAAATCGGCGATACACGCTTCTCCGTTGTTCTTTACTAGGATGTTTTTGCTCTTGATGTCTCTGTGGGCAATGCCAGGTTTGTATGGTTTCTGTAAGAAGAATAATTTTATTAGTGAGTAAGTATGAAATTTTTGACAATTTACTTGCTAATTATTCATTAATATGCATAACTTACCCCCTCGACCTCCATGTGAATATGGCAGAGGCCAGATATTGTCGATAGGACTAGTCTTAGTGCTTGATCTAAAATAGAGAAAAATAAATTAGTAAATTCATCAGTATTTTTTTAAAGTCGGAATTTTTTCAAGTCTGTAATACATTAATTAATGATATTATTTTCATATGTACCTTCAGACAATGTGTAGCACTGCAAGTAATCGTAGAGAGAGCCACGTTGGTGGTAATCAGTGACAACTAGAGAGAAATTGCGTCAAATTATCAACTACTGTCGTTTATTAGCAGTGCACATTGAAAAAACGCTGGATTTGACTTACTGATCATTTGCGTAATGTTGTCCTTGGATCTAATGTCATACCCCATAGATTCTAAGATGTTTGGGTGCTTCATAAGTGCGAGCTTGTAAATTTGCTGTTCCCTCCACCATGACTGTTCTTCAGATGAATTGATGGACTTGACGGCGACTGTGTGATAATTTTGATTATTTTCATAGCAATTCTTTTAAATATGTCCGATTCCAAACAAGTATAAATTCATGCTACTTACCATAGGTTCCCTTCCATTCACCCAAATAGACCTCGCCATAGCGGCCCTTGCCAATGCGGTGTTTCAAAGTGATTTGCCTTCCAATTGTTCTTTGTACCTGGAGTGAATATTGAGAACATGGAATTTTAGCTGGTATTACATAGTCGCACAAAAGTACAAAGTAAATAACGTTTCATTTGCACATTTTAAATATGAACGGGTGGGTACAAGCTTTTTGAAAATGAAGAGAAAGGCCAAGAGCAATGGATCGCTATCCGTCATAATCATTCATTGTCTGTGTATGTAACTTCATAAATCATGATTTTCTGACGATGGCTGGACAGACTTTTAAGTATCCATCATTTTAAAGGTAAAGTAAATGCATGCATAGCTTTTGGGTATTTATAATATTTCAATGCATACGAAATTGAGAAATTATCAGTATTTTTTTCAACTAAGAAAATGGATGGGTAGCATTACGGACAAGACTATTTAGAGAAATATTTTCGTGCTTACCAAAAGTGGCATTCCAGACCCGGACCCTGACGAATCCAGGCTGAGGAAGGCAGAATCCTTCGAGTTGAGAAGAAATGACTTATTGCTGTCTGACTCGTTCAAAAATTTCTGACTCTTTTCTTTCGATTTGTATCTGAAATTTTTAATTCGGGGATTAGTTGGATTTTCAAAAAAAAAATTAAAAATTGATTGTCACTTACTTGCATACAATGTAGAGGACGATGAGGAAAGTTAGTAAAAGTAGAGAGAATACGGCTGCGAGTAAAAGTTGCAGGAGAAAGGTCTGTGAAAAACAACAATAATGAGGTCAGTAATGATGATAAGGCTAATTGTAAAAAGTACACATTAACATTAACATTACAATGAGCACTTACATCTGCGGGTGGATTGTATGGTGCATAATGGTCGCTCACATTAGTGGGCTGAAATTAGTAATCGTTCAGGAATTCAGGAATTTTACACATTTTTACAGAAATTTGTATGATATTGATATCGGAATTTTGCATACCTTATAAACTGGCTTGAGATGTTCATTGCAAAAACTCTCATTATCACAACAGACTATTCCTGCAAACAAAATAAGAAAATATTTTTTATCCAGTTTAAATTTTTTTAAAATTTTTGTCCACATATCTTGAATTTCCACTAACCCATGGGGATGTTGTGGTCCACCAAGTGACCTTTACACTGGAGAAAGGTGGGATCTCCTGGAGCAAAGCAACCATAACTATATTCCGGTTCTAGCAGGCCCGTTTCCGTGTTGAAGGTCTCCGTCGCCGCGGCAAAACACCTCCCCCCGATGTCGACCTCACAAATCCCATCGTGCGCTTGTGAGGGGCAGTGATGATGGCAATAGCACTTCAGTTTCGGGAGCTGATTTAATATCTCCATCTTTTTTTTGTTAAAATTTCTTCTTCTGAGTATCAATCCTTCTTATTTATAATCTCTCATGCATAGTCTCAGTCACTGCATGTGTAATTGTGTCCAAAAAAATCTCTCTCTGGGGCATATGAAACTTGAACTTAAACACTCATAAATTAACGCGTATCCGGGTAGAGGATGGAATGTTCAGTGTCCGTTCAAACCAGTAGTTGTTGGCTATTACAGATCACTTGTTTAGTAAGTAAGTAGTTCGTTGTAGGCAATGTGTTTCCCATTAAATTAACGAGATGATCACTTTCCAACTTTTGAATATATAGTCCAACCAGTTGGAAGTCTCAAGTTCACTTTCAGAAGAAAAAGCCACCCAACGATCTCACATCTGCATCTGGTCGGAATTTTAACAATGCTCCACAATTTCTTGACGAGAAGAAAAATCTGGAATTCAAAAGTACACAATGTTTTACAAAGTTGTTATTAGTACGAGAATATCAGTACTAATGATGGATTACGTACAATTATAATTCTATGTAGGACTTAAAATTCACAAAATTACACCGGTAAGTTAATACAACTCGTCGTCTCAACTTGCACTTTTAGATAAAAATACTACTAATAATCTATCCAAATGCGATTTGAGATTCGATTTGAGAGATCACAATCTCATGATTTGGGATGTGAGTAATAAGCAGTGGTGTCACTCTGTTCGCGTCTGAATCACATCTGACACGGGAAGTGAGAACTCCTGGACATTTATCAGAACCTATCTAAAAGTAATATCACAATTACATTGCAAGTACACATGTCCCATTAGAGGGTAACATGTCCTTTCTCACACCCTTATTTAACGCCACCCTAACCAGGCCTGCACCACAATAACAATATTACAAGATATGTATGTAAGTATGTACATATTATTATGGCAATATGTGGTACAAAATAACATGTATCTCTATGTACATACAAATGTATGCATACTGTACACACCAACCAAGCAGAGGACATGGAATGAACAGATTTCTTACAACCAAAACTTGCATTGCATTCGATTTTCCATGCTGGAAAGAGATTTGTTAAGTGAGTAAGTAGTAAGTGTTAAGTTAAGGGGTGGGTGCGGGGGTTGGTCCTTAAGTTTAGCCTGCTACCCTCTGTCCGATTTCGAATATGCATTTTAAACGTGTAACGCTTTCCTTAAGACTCATCTCGTTAATATGTTATTATTATATCGTTGTTGTTATATTTTATGTGATCATGTAAAAAGCAACGAATGTTAGATTTCAAGGAGGAGGAGGATGGGTCTCGAGCGTCAAATAAGTGATTTTCACGCTTGGAGTTCCCAATTGGATGGAGAAGAAGAAATTGATCCTGCGGGTAAGAAAGAGATCTTAAAAATATTAAGTATAAGCCCTAACTAACTCTGCCCTTCTTAGTCTTTACCGCATTCGTGATGCTATAATGAAATAAATGTAAAACCTTCTTCTCAAGACATTTATTTATAAGCGAACGGGGGCCTTTGTGCATGTAGAAAGATCCGAAGCAAAGCCATCCATCTGTTCGGCCTGTCAAGTCCACCAGGCCAAGTGTTCCCTTCAATTCAGCTCATTTCTTCTCAAAATTCTCATTCTTCTTCTCGTAAATTGTAAAGAAAGAAAGAAAGAAACCTTTTGAAAGGATAGATCTGTAGGTTTCCGAGCTCAAAGGCGAGTTCAGTTCAGTTATAATATTCCACTTGCCAAACAGATATAATAATAACGTGGAAAAAGGTCCTCCACCAAATTTCTCTCGTTTTATGTGCTAATAGAAAAGCGTAAATGAAGTAAGTAACACCTTAAAGTGGGAAATGTTGCTGGTGGCAAAGGAAGAAACATGTTCATTCTTTCGCATGTCGTCTTTATAGTCTCAAATTCTCTCCAGTTTGTACCGTCATTGTGCATGACCCTTCACCCACAAGGAAAGAAAGACCCTTAAAATAGGAAAGAAATAGTATCCAAACTAACGAAGCTGCACCTTTAAGAAATCCCAATATTTCAAAATGAATTTCCCAATATTTGAAACTGCTCGGCAGCTAACGAAGAACTGTGAACAAACCACACTTACATTGCATATACGTACACCATCATAATGCCAACAACAATAATAACAATAAACTTGACTCCTTCTTCCATGTTATATGTACAAGAGTGAGTGGGCCTTTCTCTCTCTCTCTCCATTTCTAAAGGAAATTTCAAACTGTGAAGGCTCAAATGAAATATTCACACAGTGTGAAGTAAGAAACCTTAAGGGGTCCAGCACCACCATCACCATTTCTGCTTCAACAACACCAAGCCAAGAAATGAAATCCAATTTCCCATTGTTGTACGTGCATACAACGCAACGCTTGGAGGAGAATATGAAATGGAAATGCTTGAATGGAAGTAGTTGCCATTAAATAAAACAAAATTTAGGACTTCTAAACCTTAAATTTTACGAGGACCAATATTTTTAAGACTTTTTCTTCTCACACCAACAAACTAACAACTCCAAGAAAAGAACAGTATATACACTTGACTTGGACTGAAATTTGGGAATGATCTCTACCCAGAGAAGGACCCCCTTCGGTCAAAAACTTCTTTACTTTATTTCCTAGGAGGATGCGAGAATATACATAAAACCAAAAATACCTTTATCCAGCATCTTTTAGTTTGCTGGCCTAAACCCAGGCGATAATATTTGAAAAATGTGGCAACAAAACTAATTAAAAGTACCCACCAAAATTTCCGTGTACAAAAATACCCTTAAATTTAACACCACATGCACAATAACAGATTAAGTAAGGAATAAATGATCCCTTCTTCAGAAAAGAATCTCCCCCACGGATTCAATTCAGTCGAAATGGAACGGTTGATCGATTTCTCTTATCCAATTCTTTAATTCCACTGGATAACCCCTCTCAAGAAAGAGCACAATAATGATTCATCAATACTTTAATCTTTAGAAAAGGGACCCCACGAAAAATAGTGTGATTCCTCTTCCTCATTGTTGAATATCATCCAAAAGGAGAGGAGACTGATTGTGTTTTGAGTTGATTATCATTCTATGCACAAGTAAGTTCTTTTTAGATTTTATTTACTTCTTATTGTGTACAACGCTCTCATGCATGCATGAATATTATCTGTCTAGCTGGTGGTGAATGAATCGTAAAAGAGTATTGGGTACATAAATTGCTTGATTTTCATATTTCATTTCATTTGGAACTAGGAAAATTGAAGAGAGAACCATGCATTTTTCCACCTACCCTTTCCTTATTATTGTTATTGTTATGCCCATGTCCGACCAGACCAGAACTTATGTACATACATGTCATCTTTATATATGTAGGACTGGACGATAGGTTCAAATAATAAGAATAATAATAATGAAGCCTCGAACCAATTTTAAATCCAATCCACTCCATCATCCTTTGTTATGTCCTTCAAAAATCTGCTTAAATCTTTCTCAAAGTATTTTCTTTTTGTTAAATTCTACAATGCAAACTACTTTCAAGTGTCACTCCGAGTTCATCCATCCAACTTATACTTTTAACAATCCTCCACCTGCATTGACGGCGGCTTTACATACATATTCTTAACGTTGGAGGTGGAGTAAAATCAAGTTGACCAAAAATTTAACCCTTATTGTACAATCAATCTTTTTGGGTGAAGCAGGATAGATATTATTGTGAATAGAAGAATAGTAATTGTCCTTCCATGGACGTGCCAGACAGTAAAGAGCCATCACGTTGAATAGTACACTCCTAAACTCAATTGTTCGTAATGATGTGGGCCATAAATGTCGTGTAAAATCACTGGACAACATTAAATTTTGAATTGACTGAACCCAGCAGAATAATGAAATTTCTTTCCCCTCCAATCTACTCTACACCCAGAAAAACGTACCACATAAAATGTAAACTTTAGTCTAATTGGATTCTAGGTTTGATTGGAAGGTTGTAAATTTGTCCGTGGACTTGCATCTGCTGCATCTGATGCATGCGTATAAAATAAATTTCATTTCGTGTAGGGTGTTGGTCCATCTTTTAGTTTGTGAATCTTTATAAGGAATGAATGTGGCAAGTCTAATTAGGATCTCGTTGGCCGGAGGAAGTGACTTGTGCACAATAAATTCCAATTTCATTCTCTTCTCCTATTCAATTTTTGAGAGAGATACAATCCAATTGTTCTCTCATCGCGATGTAATGCAAGCAACCCTTTGGAATCAAGGCGTTAAATGAAGAACAGGAAACAATGGTCGATTTTTCATTTCTCATTCTCCAGGCTGGAATACATAGCCGATCAGCTCATCAATTGTTGTCCAGGCATGTCAATCAAGGAGGGAAGATGTAAGGTAAGAATAGCTGGGATTCAGGATATGGTGTTAAGAAAGATGATAAGATAACGTCGCCTACAAATGAGTCTTCCACACTTGGAAGAACATGACATTACGTACGCAAAGAACTTTTATAGACGTGATGAATAGATCCTAAAAGTCCGGCCTGATTAAGTAACTGATGAAAAGTTCAATTAATGAGTTTTTAAATTGCGTTCACTACGCTTTGCATGTTTTTTTGTCTTAATGTTTAGCTGATATTGTATTTTAATTTTAGTGTGGCTTGCTTGAGTCATACCCATTTTTAGAATTCACACGTATGCACATTCATGCATTAAGTGAAAGTCATACCTAAGTATTTATAAGTCATTTTATACAACAATTTTTCAAGTGTTTAAGTAGAAATAAAAATAAAGTAAACGTTTCCTTCGCCAAGTAAAGTATTTTACGCACCTGAGAAAACAATCCATTTCACATGTGAGCACAAATAATAAAACTGTTGACTGACTTATATATTTGAGCTTTAGAAAGAATCATTTCGTATAAGTGTACGCATCGGATTTTTATGAGAGAAAGATAATCCGTCAAATAAACACTTGACAGCGAACAAACTACTTTAAGGACGTGTATCCATAAATGTAAGCATTTAGGTTTGTCAGGCCAGGCATCGGGACTTCAAAGCGGATGGTCAGGTCACTCATTGACTGAGGATGAGGTTGGGTCCCCTTAAGCCATATAATAACAAAAGAAGCTTGAGAAAGACAAACAATTGTGTTAAATAAAAAAGAAGCAAATTCTTGGAAATTGTGTGGAGAGAAATGGTTCATTTGATGTGATGCCAGATGGTCTGGTGTGACGAGGTCGAAGAATGACCATAGGACAGAGGTCATTTTTCAAGCAGTTTTATTATCGGAAATGTGCCACAATATGAGAACTTGAACATTATGCCTAAAGTATAAAAGTTTGTAGCTTTAATTTCAAATATAAATTCATCCGCATCTAATCTGGAACTGAATTCAAAAGTCACGTTCTGGAAAACAACAAGTTAATATAATGTTCAATGTTCCACGTCGAAATGATCCAGGTTCCGATCT